GCCGAGTCGGAGAAATTGTTTCAGCGCTTTATGCGTCCGGGTGGTGAGACCGACACGCACCATCGTCTTTCAAGCGGCACGCTCGCTGGCTGTTTGTTGCGGCGGCAATGAACGGCGGGGGGAAGCCCCGTCGACACGTCGTTGGGAGGGGGTGACATGTCGAGTTTTCTCGTGGCGCTGAGCAAAATGTGCGAGCAACGGGGCTCCCCCGTCGTTGTGGCTGGACTCTGTTCTGGAGTAAACAGCGACCCGCGGGAAATCGGCCCTGTCGTCCGTGCGGCCAAAACGTTCTTGAACGTCTTGAATACCCCGCACAGCGTCTCTGCTGGCGTCCCTCAACTGACTTCTGCCGCTGACGCTGGCGGGTTGCCGCGGCTGGAGTTGAGACTACTGGAAGTTCTAGTGCGGGTGGAGAGCGATGTTCACGGCAACGTGCGGTACGCCTGCCACCACATACGCAGGATTCAGCGCCTGCAAGAGACTATCAGGGCACACACTCTTTGCGCAGTGGAGAGGCGGCGATGGATGAAAAGAACGCGCCGGCTGACTACAGTGACGTACCCACATCTTAGTGGCGCCCCCTACGAGGACGAGGAGGCGTTCAAGCGCGTCCTGCGGTCCCTGTACGGCGGGGAACAGGTGTTTGGGCCCACAAACAAGCTTCGCTACGACCTCACAGTTGCGCTGCCGTTTTCTCTTAATAATTCTCCTCACCAATTTCGCAGAATTATTGAGAAAAAACTGCAACTGAAGGCAACCCGTCATGTGAGACATTTGACACCCTCGCCAAAGTGACGGGATGAAGAACTCCTCAATCGACGACGTGCGGCACCGCCTGCGTCATTTTTGCAACTTTTTTCTTTGATGTGCGGTGTCGTCACTGCCGCTCCTGCATGAATCGCCTTGCTGCCTCTGCTTTGCTTGTGGCATTTCTTCTTTTTTACTTCTTCTTTCTCGCTGCCGTTACTGCCGCCGCTATCAACGTCACACGTGTGCGGCATTTGCGTCTGTAGGATTACGAAGCGTAGGGACCGCGACGATGCCTCCGCGACGCCGCCGGCATGCCGCCGAAACCGCCGCCGAGGGAAAGGAGCAGAGTGCTGCGACACCGCGGCAGCTGGATGCCGCCCCCTGCGAGACAGAGGCGGCGGGCGAGGCGATCAAAGCCGGGGCTGTGGGACCTGAGGCCGCGCCCATGGCACCCATTCCCCCGCCGAACGTGGCGCGCGAAGGGGGCGAGGCGGCGGAGGTGCAGCCGGCCGCGCAGCCCACGCCTGTCGCCCATGCAGATACGAGGCGGGCGGTGTTGACAAAAGTGATTTGTAAACGTAAGCCAAAGATGGCGTTCCTTTTCGATAATGCAGAGGATAACGACAACGGGGAGGCGGAGAAGCCGAAAGCGGTGGAGGCGGCCGCTCCGAAGTCCAACCCAAAGCTCGCGTTTCTCTTCGACAACGACGCCGCACACGGCGGAGCGGCGCCGGAGAAGCAGGAGCCCGGGTCGGAGGTGCGGGTGACGGACGCCGCCGCAGCAGGAGTCACACACATAGAAGAGGTGAAGCAAGAACCCATAGAAAACCCATGTAAGCTGGATGACTCGGGCAGTGCCGCAGCAACCAGCACTGCGCCAGCGGCGCCGTCGCGACGCGCGATGACGATCGCCAAGAGCGTAAAGCTGCAGCGCAAGCTGCAGGACTTCCCATATGACAAAACGGGCATCTCTGCAGCTGTGGAGAATGCAGAGGCGCTGGCCACAAACGATGCCTCATTGAACTCTGCGAAGGTTCAGGTGGACGTGAAAGAGCGCGGCAACCACGCACTGACGACGTCACGGTGTCGCAATCTCCCACA